TTCCCATCATAACCCAGTCACTAATTCCACTCCAAACTAAAATTCATGGATTACGGACGTCCCATATTTTCCATTGTTCAGACTGGCCGTTTACTCCAGAAATTACGGCCCGCCCTACCAGAAACCGCAAATTATTTATCAATTTAACCCAGTGTGGCCGCCCTGCTTGGGCCGTCCACTTATGATTCGGCTTTCTAATGGAGATGCGGTATTGGCTAACGAAATTGGGAAATCAGACTATGGAATTACGTTCCTTTCCTTTGATGACTTCGGGGCCAAAAATAATAAAAACGCTGCTACCTATATAACAGCACAAAGCATAATGATGAAATAACAGTTGCCAGAAAGCATCAAGAAAATTGCAGTTTTACGGACCGAAACATTCATTTTGCGACTCATTTCCCCCTTATTTTTCAGAAAATAAACTTATTTTTCTTCCACAGATTTTTCAGTTAATTTTCCTCCATTCAGTATCATTTCCATTACCCTTTTATTATATTTTATTCTGTAAAAACCTATAACCAATCTCGTATCTTCTGTGCAAATAAGACTATCTTCTTTCTAACTATACGGGCTTACCAGAAGAAAGGCCCTACCATCCTAAGCCTGAGGAGCAAAACTGTGGTGATTCAACTAAGTTATTAGCTGCTGGTCAACCAATGTTGCCTCTTCAGTCCACCAGTAGACCTTATATGGCGGTGGGTTTTTTTTTTTTCATTTTTATTTTTTAGCATTTTAAAAAAAGCTCTAACGTCAAAAACATACTTTTCATTGTGTTCTCGAATATAACTCATGAATGTCTCATCGGCGCGGATCACGCTTTCTGGCACAACTTCCCGTACATCCGTTGTTTTGTCTTCCGATAATCGGTCCAGTTCATTGTTAATTTTTGTCATATAATCTTTCACTTTTTCGACACAATCCTCACGTGGATTATCACAAACAATATACCTAAAAACAAATTAAAAGTATATCCGTTTTGATTTCCAACATTTTATTGTGACGCAGCCTTATCTAAATTAATTTTGGATCCTCCGCTTCGCACATTTCATCCACATCTGCATAGCCATCTACGTGTAACGCGCGCAAGAAGTCCGAAGGGCCTGCGAAACTGCAAGGGTTGCTCCTGTAGAGCTGCGAGGGGCTCGCCCAAACCAATA